CCCCAGTGGTAGATGTGGAAACAAAGGAAAAAAAAGTTTTATTTCCTATCAAGAGGGAAATACTCTTAAGACGCACTTGTAACCTTGTGAATGCAGAAACTGAATGACTGGGTCCCACATTTGACCACCTTACATCAGACCTGAGGTGGAAATGAAGATTCTTAATGGATAAGACTTAAAAATACCCATATCTGACTCTAACACTGGGTACAGTCTTGACACAGTGTGGTTCACAGAGCAGGACCTGCAACATCAACAACATATGAGAGTTTCTTACAAACCCAGAACCTCTAGGTCACCCTAGTCCTGCCAAATCAGAAACTATTTAAACAAGATCCCCTAGTGATTTAAACACACCTTGATGTTGGGAGAAGTGCTTGTTTAGGATAGTGTTTCTCAACCTCACCACTACTGACATTTGTGCTGAATAAGTCCTTGTGGTGGGGGCTGTCCTGGGCTTTGTAGTTTGCTGAATTGCATCCTGACCTCAACTGGGGAATATCAGTAGCACTTTCCCAGATATGACTGTCAAAAATTTCTCCAGATATTGCCAAGTGTTCTCTGGAGGCAAAATCATCTCTGATTGAGAATCACTAGCTTAGACTGTGAGAACTAAAAATATCCTTTGTACTATATGAAACACATCCCTTACTCAGTTCATATTTTGGGCCAATCACCTAACGCTTCTGAACCACAATTCTGCAAACTTAGAATGAGGCTAATATTTGTACAGTCCACAAAGGACAGAATTTTAGAAAAAAATGAATGAGACAATACATATAAAAATTCTAAGTTCAACCCAAGGTACATTAAAAGATCTAAATGTATCCCTTATAATTACCAAATGTTTAATAAATAAAGGACTAAATACCAGCTCTTCACTTGTATTAAAAGAATGAAAATTTTAATTGATGCTCAAAAGCATTATGAAACCAAGAATTATTTTACCCATGGCTTTGTAGCAAAAGAACACAGATTACTCCCTTACTGAAGGAGAAATAGCAATTTTCTGGAGGTATCAGAAGCTGTATTTTCATCACAAGTCAGTGCCTATGACAGTCAAGGGACCTAGTCAAGATGGCTTCACTTCCTCAGGATTAGATTTGGAGAAATCTTTGACTCAAGGCTATAAAAAGTTTCATTATTAGACCTCTGGAAGCCAGGACAGTTCATGGAGTAGTAATGAGAATTGGATACACATGACTTCTAGCCTGGTCTCTTAGGAACAAAGAGAACAAACCTGGTCTCTCCAGCGTATCAGCTGGAAATTTTCTATTCTGTCCAGACAAGTTCCCCTGGGGAAATGGTGTATTCAGGGGTTGTAGTAATC